CATATATTCTAAGGCATATTGTGCATATATTAATTGCCATATTTAAAGACATACATAACTAGTTGTTTCCGACATTATTTTGAAGTCACAATAAAACAAGTAAACAATAAAAAAGCGCGATTAATATTATAATAAATATGTATTTACATGATATGTCGGTAATGTCCTTCTTGTCATCAGGTATAACATAGCCCTTCTCCATAAGTTGTATGAGCACATTCATAAAATCGTTCCTGACGACATTATGAATTCGTCTGTATTCCACGTTATCACGAAATAATTTCATAAAAAACTCGGTAACGCCTGTGTCCGTAACAGGAAGAGAAAGAAAGTTCATTATTTGAGGTACGAACATTAAAAAAGTCTTCCAAAGGGGTTGCTCTCCAAAGATTTTCTTCCCCCAATATAGAAACTCGTTATTTTCTGGCTGCTTTATACAATTAGATTTGATTCCAAATGCCGTTGACATAATTACTTCCATTGAATATCTAATTTTTTACATATATTTTAATTAATTCTTAAACTATATTTTAATATTCTATTAATTAATATTGTTAAATTATATTCAAATGTTCTATTATTATAAAAATTAAGTTTCTACTTTAAATTTAATAAAATACACAATTCAACACAAAATAAATGGTGAAATATGCAATTTCATCATCTTTTAACTTCTAAAATTTTCAATCTGTTATCACAAGGTACTATATAGATAGTATACATATATGTATGTATATACAGGATATTTAAAAAAGCTGGTATCAAACTTTAGGAATATGTAGTATCATAAAAACAAACCGAAAAGTCTCAATAACTAGTACTTTAAAAACTATTTATTTCCGAATTATAAAATAAAAAATAAATTTAGTCTACAACGGATGTTCAATGTGCCCTGCGTTCATTTTAACACAAAATTCACTTGTTTTCTCATTAAAGAACGAACACGTTTAAAGATTTCAGGTTTCGTATTTCGTATTTATTGACATCAATTTTCAATTTTCTGTATCCAATGTAT